CACCTCCTTGGCCCGTGAACCGCCCGCTGGGGGCACGGGTCGGCCCGCGGTTCCGGTTTTCACGGGCCAGTTTTCACGGGTCATGGCCGGCCCGTCCGTCTTGACACCTCTAGATGCATGAATGCATTAAAGTAGTGGGTCCCTAGATTAGGAGAATGCACGTGGCAGTATCTTTGTCCCTAGCAATAGGACAAGTATTTGCCTCCTTTAATCCAGCCGTGTTCCAAGAGATAATATATACCTTTTTTTTCCCTCATATATTTGAATTCGATGTATTATCCAATTACAGACTTTTGCACCCAATTCTAAACATCTTGATATCCCAACTCTAATTCACACGTACATCATGCTTCTCAAGTCTTCGAACTCGAAATTTTGAGTATAATATATAAAATATTCTTCTCGTGCTGAATTTAATTACTCCCTCCGTCCCAATTATATAGGCTGGGTTTCCTTTTTCTCTTGTCCCAAATATATAGGCTTGTTTCCTAATGTAGAATATTTTATTGTGTTCTTTTACTAATATACCCTTATTAAATTTTCCCCACTTAATATGCAAACTTCTTGAAAATTCAAATTCTTTATGAATTCCAACAATAATTTAGTTTTACCCACTGAAAATTAAATAGGGGTAAACTAGGAAAAATCTTGGCAAAAATTAATTTTCCAATGACATTAAATAAGTTTTCTTAATCCGTGTGAAAAACCAAACAAGCCTATATAATTGGGACGGAGGGAGTATATAGTTTACTTCTTTTGTTGACTCTCGACGAATCTAATATTGAATAGTACTCAAGTATTGGATCATCTCAATGTTTTTTAAATTTTATAAGAGATTTTAGGGTGTATTGTTTTTCATGACATAGAAAACAAAGAGAGGCTTGAGTTTAGATACAATATGTACTCAACTTGTAATGTGTCTTTAAAGAAACGATTGCATTGATAGTTCAAATCAGTATCAATAATTCAATCTCATGAACTGGACGAGACTTAAATTGTCATGCTCATAATCATATCTAAAAATAGTATATAAAGTCAGAAATTAATTGCTTTTTTCTCTAAATCAATCAACTCAAATAATTATTTGCTTGTTCGTTTACTTCTCAAATGATTACCCCCTTGTGGCTTTAAGTGATGCACATAAGCATGAAATCATAATAATTAATTGTTTCTCTTATCAATATGAATGACTGAGACTGACTGATTGAATGACAAATTTATTCTCTTTCCATGAAATAATAATTTGATTCCAAAAATATATTTTAATAAGGATTAGGTAGAAGAACACATCTTCACAAGGAGTTTCATCCTTTAGAAGGTAAGGTAGAAGAAAAATCCTAACCACCCCACCCCTTATACCCCCAAAAATGGTTGGATTATTCAATTGGAATCTAATGGGGATGAAAATTTCTTAAGAATTTCAATAGAAAAATCCCCTTTCAAATGTCTTAACTTTAGGGTTTAGATTGAATTTTTCTATAATGAAGCATTACTTCAAAGAAAATATTATAAATAATACACGTCTGATGTATCGTGTTGAGTTAAGAAAATAACACCTATGTTGGGCGTAAGTTGACAAACAAGAATTGTATTTGTATGTTTCAAGAAGTGTATTATTTAATTAGTTTCATAATGAGTGATTTTGACATCACAACGACACTCCAATTAACGTTGATATTGAAATTATATTCATCATTTCGGTTTTTAGGTCGATTTTCTTTTATTAAGATGCAAGCAAAGTTAAGTCAAGAGTTTTTTTAATTAATTCTTATATTGAGTTTATTTTGATTAGCTTATTCAGTTTCTGTCAAAGATGATGGGAAGGAAGCAAATATAATTGGTACATAACAAACTTAGATATTGACTTGCATGAATTGAAATTCTTACTTTAAACTGTGGGAAGTTTCTGCGTTGGTAACATTAAAATCCGCGGTGGACCCATTAAGGGCCCAGTGGGGGAACTGTCCCCGCCCAGTGGGGGAACTGTCCCCACTGGGCCATTACATTTTTGCCTTACAAAAAAAACTAAACAGAGCAGCCCACCCATGACCGAACTACCAAAGCCCACCATGAAGAAATGTATATGCTTAAAAGAAGCCCACACTTGCGGCCCCTTTCTTCCCCTTCCCCTCCCTGTTCCTCCGAATTCCCAATCCCTACCCTTTCCCCCAAGTCCCTTAATCCCTTCTAGGGGTGTCCAAAAGTCTCGAACCGAACCGAACCGGATCGAACTGAACCCGACCCGAACCGAACCGAATCGAGCCGTTCTTCATAAATTAAATACCCAAACGGGTACCCGAATCGAGAACCGATGTGTTTGGGTTGGGTCTCGAGTCTAGACCAAGAACCGAAACACCAAATAAGAACCGAAACTAAATAATTTTTTATTTTTTATATTAA